TTTATTTATTTTATTTGAACGTTCTATCCTATATGTCTAACTAACTCTTCCTTTCTTTTTTTTTTTTTTAATAGTAATCAATCGTATATCTTAGGTGCACGTGTCTCTGTTAGTACATGCACTCAATTTCAAAGAGACACGACCGAGCAATCACGTTTTTCGGTTCATTTCTTATGCAATCATGGCAAGTATATAATCATATACTCTTTCTCTATCTTTCTCTCTTTCTATTTCTTATTTTTTTTTTTTTTTCATCGATTGATAGCAACCAATAGATCGAGATATTTATTCGTCTGGGAACATTTTCAACAATCTTCTTCTTTCGTGTCATCAGTGTATGCCATTAACATTGTACGAACACTTTCCATGGCTCCGAATAACTAATAATCAATAATAATTATTATTATTATTAATATTATTATAATATTTATGTTTAACATTAAACATATTACAGGATAATTAATTATTTGTATTTGTATTTGTATTTGATGCAATTGAAACCTGTTTTCCAATATAGTTGCATATAATTTTCTTATATATTCAATTTATTATTATTATATATTATTATTTAATAATTATTTTATATCATTGTCAATATATATTGTCATAATTATAGACGCGAAAAGATTATTCAATTTTAATCTTAAAAAAAAAATAAAAAAATAAAAAAATAGCAAAAAGACAAATGAAATAAATTTGATTGAAACAAAGGAAACGTTAGTAAAGATAATATAAAGTTTAGAAATAAAAATCGGACGTTCTTTTTCACGGTACTTTGATATCGATGTCAGTTCAGTGTTCTATGGAAGGCCACGAAGAGGGTCAAGACAGACACCATATATGTAATAGCAAGTACATTGAGAATGAGATCATTGAAAAAATATTTCAAACTTATTTATAAATTTATTAGTCAAATCCTAAATGTGCATAGAATATTAAGGGGTTACATGGGTTTGGGACTTTCAAACAAAATTTTTTTTTTATCTTTTTGAATTCTACAACTCATCTAGAATATTGTATTGAATTTTGAAGTCGATAGGAGTAGTAGTTTCAAAGATAGAACCTTGAGAAGCACTCAAATCTTTAAACGCGTTTTACTCAAAACGCTTTTTCTAAAGTCTGTTGTCAAGATTTTTCGAAAACTATTTAACCGATTTTCGTGAAATTTGCTACACGTCTTCGTGATACTATTGACAAGGACTTGAACGAAGGATTTTCGTTTTTTTTCATAAAATCGAATTTTAAGAAACCAAAATGTGGTGCAAATTGTAGCGAAATTTGAATGTTCTTGCTAAAAACGTTGCCAAAAATCCAAATTTCAATTTTGTTCTTTTTCCTTCGTCCAGTTTCTAATTTTAAGTATTCACTAAAAGAGCCTATTTTTTCAACAGAAAAACCCCCACCGTTTATAAGTTCTGCTGTCAACGCGAAAACACTTTTTTTCGGTGGGGTCACCGGAAAAGTGGCTGAGTTTTAAAATATTTTTCAATCAAAATTTCAGAAAATCTTCTTTAAATATGTATCTTAAATACTATAAAAAGTTTGAATAAGAATTCCATTTTTTGTATAGAAAAAAAAATTGTTGAAAATATGCTATTTTTTTTCGGTGTAAACCCATGTAACCCCTTAATTAGAATTAGGTTAATTATTACCAAAATTAGAAGAAAAATGATGAAAATAAATCCGGTCTTGAAATATAATGTGTATGTTGCTTCCTGCCATTTTGTATTAATTTCAACTAAGATAGGAATAAACAACATAGAACTTGTCATACCAAGTGCTGCTAGAAGGCCACTCAGTGGAATCATTTTTGGTATCGCGATTGCTACAAATGCTAAGTAAAAAAAAGATCAATGAATTATTACAATAATTCATTTAATCAATTGATTTTGTTGTTGTTGAGATTATATAAGTATTCGTGTTAATAACTTACTTGCAATTAAGATACCACCCAAACGAAATATTATTTCATGACGATTTTCTAGACTAGTCATGTTCATTATAATTGGCCAAATTATGCTAACTGGTATGATGTATGTTATACCGATAGAAAATAATACGCTGATTGCAATACCGATCTTTGTTAATTGTGCCAATCTAAAGAAATTTAAAATTTAATCGTTAGAAAAATAATATATTATTATTTCATTATAATAAAGAGAGTTTGTTGTTTTGTGTGTGTGCGTAATGTTACAAAAGAAATTAAGTTTAAGATAAAGTATAAATGTAGCATGTAAAAAATATTCAGCATAAAAAAAATTCAGTCCATTAATTAGATAATATCAAACTTTAAATAAAACAATCTATTTTCATCTAATTAAATATAATAATAAAACAATCCTTTTATTTAATAAATTCATTTAGGATTCGTTGTTTTCATACATTTATTCTTTTCAATCATTCGCACACGAATAATTAAAACTCTTTGAAAATATTAAATAATAAATATATAACGTAAGATATTTATATATACGTGAATTATAATTATCATAGATAAAATATTATCTTCAGTTTTAATTTTGAAACAAAAAAATGCACCCAATAGCGTAAGTATGTGTTGACCAACAAAACTATTTACACAATTAATTGAATCTTATCGACAATGTTCTTATTCTTCTTCTTCATCTTCTTTTTTAAAAAAAAAAAAAAAAAAAAAGAAAAAAAGGAGGTAAGATTTCTTCATCGTCATTGTAAAGAAGATAATCTCATCTAATCGAAATGATAAACCTAGCCACGTGGACAGAAAAAAAATTCTATTCGACACCTAATCAAAATGTGGGTGTTTGTATATATATATATATGTTGGTGTCTAACGAATGAATTGTTAGAAAAAAAATGTTAGAAGAATGCGGTCGAATTCATTGATAAGTACAATGATAATTCTTCAGTTTGTTTGTTTTTTTTTTTTTTTTGTTTGAATACAAATAAAATTCTTTACGTTGGGGTACGCGAAATAATGTCGCAAGATTTACGTTCAACTTATTCTTCTTATTCGAAAGGAAAAATACAGAATTTAGTATATATATATGTTATCCGTCAATAAAAAACAAATGTATCTTGGTATGTTCTGATTTGATCGATGATATCATAATATTAAAGAAGAACAAAATTATATGGAAGTCGCTAAGATATATTTGTTTCATTAAAATTATATCGAATACGATATCGAAATATTATCGATTATTTCTTGTGTTAATAAAATTGGAAGAATCATGAGTTTACTTAATAATCATATTTTTTGTACAATATTAAATCTGTATAAGGATGAATATTTTGTGTGTGCATCGTCAAAGTACATTTTATTTTTCTTATGAGAAAGATAATATTTTGTTTATAATTAATTTGATTTATATATACGTTAAAGTGAATTATTTTTTTATTTTAAAAAAAATAATATTTTGTTTATAATTAATTGGATATTCGTATATGCTAAATTTATAAATATTGATGATGATGATACATTATAATGTATTGTATCTTTTTTTTACTTTTCTTTTTTATATAAGATATCTATAATTCTATAAATATGAAAAATAAATTAAATAGAGAGAAATATAATATTTATGATCTATTTAATTTAGCGAATATTAATTCTGCACTCCGTTGAATTTTATTGAAATAAATCATCCTATGATCATATCGTATTATTAATAAACTGCAAATATTGAACGAACATTACGATAAGATTAAATGTTAAAATAATTAATTGATCGGATGAATGAATTAATTAATCATTTATTCAAATTAGTACATTGACGAATCACACCGTAGAAACATTGACAAGAATTTATATCTAAGATAAATGAAAACATCCTTGAACCATATTTTATTCATTGATATGTCCTTAATCATTGACGACTGACTCACACCGTGCACAAATTAACAAATTATTCGTTGATAAATTTTCCGATCATTGACGAATATTTCCGTGAATAAATTTTCAATATTAACGAATATCCCAATTTATTTATTTAAAAAATTCCTTGATCATTAATTAATCAAACATCGTAGATACAGTGAAAAAATTATTAAACCTTTTTTTTTTTTATCAATGAATCATTGATGAAAATTATAAAAATTTCATTTTACTTATTAATAACTCCTCGATCATTGATTAATCAAACCGTAGACAAATAAAAATAATTCAATCTTGAATAAATCATTAAGGAATTCTACCGTAGATACATTTTTAAAAATGATTTCATCCAAATTTTAATACATTTATGAATCATTTTTACTTGCGCAAATATATATATACATTAACAAAAGTAATAATAATAAACAGTTTTTATTTCTAGAAACGCGTTGAATCATTGACGAAGTCATTTCATCATAAAAATCAATTCTCACAAATGACAATAAAATAAAAATAAAAAAAAAAAAGGAAATAAAAATCAAATACAATTCCATGTGTAAATTGATTGAAAACATTTCTGGAATGCACAATGCAACTTTATCATCTTCCATTTTCATATATATTGTTTGAAATAATATATTTCTACTATATTTTTTCTCTTTAATCATACAAATAAATAATTCCATCGAGTTATCATTATCGTTATCATTCTCCCAACACATACACACACACACATATATATAAAGATAGAAGATATTCAAAGAAACAAAGTATCGCATAAATACTCACATTTCGTTGAGTGGTAAATTCTTGATAACGGTGTCGCAGCTTTCCTTGTATTTATTGTACCCTAAGAATCCAAAGGTAACATAAATTAATGTGTTCAATATCGTAGCAATGATTATTAATCTTGGCATGTTCCTTGGATTCTCCATTGTATTTTCTAACGGTAAAAATATCGTAATGTTGTGTAACGCGAAAAGGAATATACTTGAAAACATTGGCACCGAATGGATATTCGTAAATGGATCGAGTCTTTTAGGATTTGAAAAATCATCGAGAAAATAAATCAAACTTATTCCAATACCCATGATGAAGAATATCGTACCGATCACAGAAAATGGTGTCAGGTATTTAAGATTAGGCACGAGAATCATCAAACAATAAATTGGACAAAATATTATCACGTAGACTCGTACGTCCAATGTAATTTTTGTAACAAATTCTATAACCTGTAAAATAATGAAAAATATTTTATTAACAACCAACGCAATTAACAAATCAATAATTTATTTTTTTTAATACCTGTAAACACGCGTGCTTGTATGTAAAAAATTATTTATATTAATATAAATGTAAGAGTACGTATTTTGTAATATTTTTAATTCGAGATAAGATGAAACCTT